TGCCCCCATGAACAGACACACCCGGCCCTGCTGGTCCAATTGGACCTCCATGCACGGACACACCTCCTGCACCCTACACACCTCCTGCACCACATCACCGCACACCTCCCCACCGCCATGTCAACACACACACACCGGTCCTGCGCCGTACACAGCTCCTGCACCCTACACAGCTCCTGCACCGCACACACCTCAGGTGCCCTACACACCTCCTGCACCCAACCACACTGCTGGTCCAATTGGACCTCCATGCACGGACACACCTCCTGCACCCTACACACCTCCTGCACCACATCACCGCACACCTCCCCACCGCCATGTCAACACACACACACCGGTCCTGCGCCGTACACAGCTCCTGCACCCTACACAGCTCCTGCACCGCACACACCTCAGGTGCCCTACACACCTCCTGCACCCAACCACAGAACACACAGCATACCTGCAATTTCGCATGCATGCACAGCTACACAGTTGCACACATGGTGCACAGCACTACCCATGCAAACTCGACACACTGGCAGTACTCACAGTACACACCAAAGTGTTCACACACACACACACACACACCCACACACACAGCTGAGCCATGTCTGTGTCTGCCCAGGGTGAGACGGGCTCCCAGGGCATCCCAGGCCCCCACGGAGAGGATGGTGAGGGGGTGGGTCTGGTCTGGTGGAGGGAAACTGAGGGAGCTGGGGGTGATTCCCAGGGGAGGGAGTGTGGGGAGCAGAGGGGGCTGGAGGGGGAGCTGGGTGGAGCTGAGCTGGTTCCCCTCCCTGTTCCCTGCCTCACCCCCTTTTTCTCTCCCCCCCAGGGAGACGATGGAGAGATTGGACCCAGAGGGCTCCCCGGAGAACCGGTACGTGCCCCCCTGCCAGGCAGGCAGCGGGAGCTGTGATTGTGTGAGGAGGCAGCTACCCAGGGCGGTGCAGAGGGACATCCCATGTACCACCCACCCCAGGATTCACAACCCCCCATCTCTGTGGGACCGGGGCTTTTCCGGCCCTGCCTGAGTCTGCAGAGAGCCTGACACCACTGCTCCAGAGGGGCCTCGATTCTCAGCTCTTCTGCCCTTTGCTCTGAGTTGTTAGCCTCACTCCATAAAGTCATCGTTAACCCTTGAACCTACTGATGGAAAATCCAAAGCCCAACCCTAACTGCTCTATCCCCATCACTTCAGCAGAGACAGCCAATTAATGGGTTACCCCAAAGCCTTCATCTACCCCCACCCGTGTCCCCCCATGTCCCTGGCACCGCTGGTATTGCAGGGACTGGACGCCTCGGTGTGTCAGGAGCTGGCACTGTGGTGGGGAGGGGTGTGAGGATTTAGCCAGGGGTGGCACGATGCAGAAGGGATGCAGACTGGGGCCGGGACTCATCCTGAGAATCCCACCCCGGCTCCTGGTACGTGCAGTTCAGGAGGGGCGGGGGCTGCTTGTGCGCTGGAGTCGGGGAGATGCGGGCTGGGAATGCAGCCGGCTCTCGATGGGGGAGCGCTGCCTGGTGCAGGGAGCAGGCTGGCACGTGGGCTGAGTGAACGGGAACCTGGCAGGGTGGGGCTAGCAGTGTCTCTAACACTGGGCTAGGGGCTGGTACAGAGTTGGCATCTGAACTGACACTATCAGGGTTAGAGTTACAGGTTGGCATGGGGGTTGGGGTTGGGATTTGCTTTGGGGTCGGTGCTGGGACTGGGGTGAGGGTTGGCTGGCATTGGTGTAGGTGGTGGGATTAGGTTGGGGTGTATGGAGTTGGTGTTAGTGTTGGGGTGTATGGAGCTGGTGATAGGGTTGAGGTGAGGGTTGGCTGGCATTGGTGTAGGTGGTGGGATTAGGTTGGGGTGTATGGAGTTGGTGTTAGTGTTGGGGTGTATGGAGCTGGTGATAGGGTGGGGGTGAGGGTTGGCTGTCATTGGTGTAGGTGGTGGCATTAGGGTTGGGGTGTATGGAGTTGGCAATAGGTTGGGGTGAGGGTTGGCTGGCATTGGTGTAGGTGGTGGCATTAGGGTTGAGGTGTATGGAGTTGGCAATAGGGTTGGCTTTGAAGTTGACAATTTGATGGGAGTAGGCGCTGGCGTTGGGGTGGATTGAGGTGAGGGTTGGCTGGCATTGGTGTAGGCAGTGGCATTAGGGTTGGGGTGTATAGAGTTGGAGATAGGGTTGGGGTGAGGGTTGGCTGGCATTGGTGTAGGTGGTGGCATTAGGGTTGGGGTGTATGGAGTTGGCAATAGGTTGGGGTGAGGGTTGGCTGTCATTGGTGTAGGTGGTGGCATTAGGGTTGGGGTGTATGGAGTTGGCAATAGGTTGGGGTGAGGGTTGGCTGTCATTGGTGTAGGTGGTGGCATTAGGGTTGGGGTGTATGGAGTTGGCAATAGGTTGGGGTGAGGGTTGGCTGTCATTGGTGTAGGTGGTGGCATTAGGGTTGGGGTGTATGGAGTTGGCAATAGGTTGGGGTGAGGGTTGGCTGTCATTGGTGTAGGTGGTGGCATTAGGGTTGGGGTGTATGGAGTTGGCAATAGGTTGGGGTGAGGGTTGGCTGTCATTGGTGTAGGTGGTGGCATTAGGGTTGGGGTGTATGGAGTTGGCAATAGGTTGGGGTGAGGGTTGGCTGTCATTGGTGTAGGTGGTGGCATTAGGGTTGGGGTGTATGGAGTTGGCAATAGGTTGGGGTGAGGGTTGGCTGTCATTGGTGTAGGTGGTGGCATTAGGGTTGGGGTGTATAGAGTTGGAGATAGGGTTGGGGTGAGGGTTGGCTGTCATTGGTGTAGGTGGTGGCATTAGGGTTGAGGTGTATGGAGTTGGCAATAGGGTTGGCTTTGAAGTTGACAATTTGATGGGAGTAGTCGCTGGCATTGGCGTTGGGGTGGATGCTGTTCTTGGCATTAGGGTCGTTACTGGGGGCGCTGGCGTTGGGGTGGATGCTGTTCTTGGCATTAGGGTCGTTACTGGGGGTGGGGTTAGGGTCAGGGTAGATGCTGCACTGGGTGTTAGGGTCACATTGGGGGTGGGGGTAGTGTGGGGAGGACACTCTACTCAATATTAGGGTTGGTGTTGGCAGTGTGGTTAAGGCTGGGGTGGATGCTAGACTTGGTCTTAGGGTCGTTACTGGGGGTGGGGGTAGTGTGGGGAGGACACTCTACTCAATATTAGGGTTGGTGTTGGCAGTGTGGTTAAGGCTGGGGTGGATGCTAGACTTGGTCTTAGGGTCGTTACTGGGGGTGGGGTTAGGGTCAGGGTAGCTGCTGCACTGGGTGTTAGGGTTGCATTGGGGATGGGGGTAGTGTGGGGAGGACACTCTACTCAATATTAGGGTTGGTGTTGGCAGTGTGGTTAAGGCTGGGGTGGATGCTAGACTTGGTCTTAGGGTCAACGTTGGGAATGGTGTTGGGGTGGATCTCGGTGTTAGGGCAGGCATGGGGTTGGACTGGGTTGGATTTCTCTTTTCTCCCATTCCCCCCGCCCTCCCCAGCTCTGTTACATGTACTGAGTTGACGCCATTTGGAAAAGGCAGAGCCCGGGGCTGGGGGAGGACGGGAGCCCCCCAATCCTTTCTCCGGCCAAGTGGCCGGACTCTCTGAAGCGCCGGCTTTGTCGAGAGCCCGAGCGGAGCAAACGTTCCCGCCTGGTGCCCAATTCCCAGCATCAGGAAGGCCCAGGAGCGGTTCCCTTTGGCTGCGCCCTGGGAGCTGTTTGGGGGTTTGCTGGGGCTCCCTGCAGAGTGCTGGGGCGTGTGACGCTAGTGGATTCTGATATGAACATACCAAGCATTGCTGCCCCCGCTGTTACACGTCTGCACCGAGCGTGGAGCCCAGCGGCCCGCGAGGTGTCTGTAGGAAGCTGGTGAGTCTCTGATGCGCTTTGCATTGCTCATGCGCATGGAGCCCAGCGGTCCGGCGAGGTGTCTGTAGGAAGCTGGTGAGACTCTGATGCGCTTTGCATTGCTCATGCGCCTGTGTCCGTTCGGTGTGAAGTGCTGAGCATTGGCTCTGTGCATGGTCTTCATGTTTGCTTCCGGGAGACACCAACAGGCTTCCCCCACCTAGTGCAGTAGGGCGGCCAGCCCAGGGACCAGCCGCACTTGACTGACAATGCACCTCGAGTGGGGCCGATCCGCATCTCAGGCCTGTCCCTGAGAACAGCCAGACCAGCAGGGGGCCGGGGCTGCTAGGGACCGAGTCACACATGCCAGGTGACTTCCTCGAGTGACCAACTCCACCCTGGGAGGTACCATCCCCCAGCGAGAGCCAGGGGGTTCCCTCTGCGAGGGTCGGGGTGCAAAGAGGGCCCTTTCCTGGCTCTGCTCCAGGCCTGCACCAGGCACTTTGCGGTGGGTGCATGCAACTCAGCTTTAACTCTTAACCGTCTCTTTTTTTGGTCAATAAACCTTTGGATTTTAGATTCCAACGGGGCCTCACCCCCTGCGGGGCAAACGGCTGTTCGTTTGCCTGGCCACCCTGCCACTCTAGGTGGGCGAAGTCTGGCGGTGTCTCCCAGAGGCCCACATGCGAAATACACGTCCAGAGCCACCACACTCGCCACATCACACACAAGACTGGCCCATGCACCTGAGCAGTGTAAACAGGACCTGCGACTCCCCAGCTGTCTGCAGACACCTCGCTTGGCCCGCCTCGCACAAGGGCTGCTGCACATAGAACAGCCGTGGCAGCTGCGCTTCGTATGTTCCCATCAGAATCCAGTAACATCCCAGGAGGGTCACCAGGGCCCGGCCTTGGGGACAGAGTGATAGCGGCCGGGGGCTGGATGAGGGGCCGCTCTGTGCCTGCCCCGGCCGACTCCGCTAGGGTCTGATGGCCCCTGACACGGGCACCAGGAGAGTCCCATTGCAGGGAAACTGAGGGGTCTTAGTGCCACATCCCAGGACTCCCTGGGACCCTGCACGCAGCCACGGCCATGGGTCTGGGACTGGCTCAGGATTAGGGTCTGCATCATGGGGTCCTCAGCCCCACCTCCAGGGCTTGTGTAGGGCTTGGTCAGACCTGTGTCCCCCCCCCAACCCCCGCAGTTCCACTGGAGGGACCCAGGCCTGGCTTAGCCCCCCCACCACCTCAGCCTCACTAATTCTGGTCTCTCCCCTCCCTGCAGGGCCCCAGAGGTTTGCTTGGACCCAAAGGCCCCCCGGGGATACCCGGACCTCTGGTAAGTGCCATGCCTAGGACCTCAGTTCCTCCAGCCTCTCAACCCCCCACCGCACTAACCCCCGCCCCTCTGTCTGTCTCCTCCACAGGGCGTGCGTGGCATAGACGGCCCCATCGGCCCCAAGGGGAACCTGGTGAGTCTGTCTGTCTGTCTGTGCTGCCCTGTCCTTCTGTGCGCAGGTCTGGAAGTGCCTTGGGGGCACCTGCCTGGGGAGGCCAGTGCTGTGAGCTTCCCCAACAGCAGTGCCACTGTAGCTGGGTACTCCAGTGCAGTGAGCATCCCCTGTAATGAGCGGGGACTCGGACGCTGTGAACTTCCCCTCCAGCAGTGCCCCCAGCCACGGATTCCAGTGCTGTGAACTTCCCCACAGCAGTGCCCTGTCTCCCTCTTCTGTGTAAGTAGTGGGTGACTCCAGTTCTAACTCCAGCTCCATCTGATTGTCACAGGGGCCGCAAGGTGAGCCAGGCCCCCCCGGGCAGCAGGGAACCCCAGGCACCCAGGTAAGGAGCCGCCCAGCTCTGGGGACTCGAGGTGCAGGGGCTGGGAGCCAGGACTCCTGGGTTCTGCCCCGCTCTGGAGGGGGAGTGGGGTCTGGATCTAACCCTGTGTCTCTGTTTCAGGGATTGTCTGGCCCACAAGGTGCTATGGGCCCCCCTGGAGAGAAGGTGAGTGCCCCTAACCCACCCTGCCCCCCGCTGCGATGCAGCCCCCATCCCGGCCTGGGACACTTGTCTGGGTCTCTGCTGCCAGCTCTGATCTCTGCTTCTCTCTCTCTGCAGGGTCCCGGAGGCAAACCTGGCCTCCCCGGCATGCCCGGCTCCGACGGGCCTCCTGTGAGTATCCTGCCAGCCCCAACCCCTCCCCTGCCAGCCCCCGGCTCCCAGGCTCCCGCTGCCCCAGGCTGGCAGTGCAGGAACTGCCTGGTTAAGGTGGCTCCTGGCCTGACACTCTCTCCTTGGCAGGGGGGTGAGGGCAGAGCAGCCATGTTTAACGGGAGGGGAGGCCGCGACATTCCCTGTGGAGACCCTGTCGTCACGGGGATGCTCCTGAGCTGTGCCACTTGCTCATGGGGTGAGGACCTGGGGGCCATGTGTAACAGGAGATGAGGTAGCACCATTTGCTGTTGGGCCCCACACACTGCCCTACTCATGGGGTGAGGACTTGGGGGCCATGTGTAACAGGAGATGAGGTAGCACCATTTGCTGTTGGGCCCCACACACAGCCCTACTCATGGGGTGAGGACCTGGGGGCCATGCGTAACAGGAGATGAGGTAGCACCATTTGCTGTTGGGCCCCACACACAGCCCTACTCATGGGGTGAGGACCTGGGGGCCATGTGTAACAGGAGATGAGGTAGCACCATTTGCTGTTGGGCCCCACACACAGCCCTACTCATGGGGTGAGGACCTGGGGGCCATGTGTAACAGGAGATGAGGTAGCACCATTTGCTGTTGGGCCCCACACACAGCCCTACTCATGGGGTGAGGACCTGGGGGCCATGTGTAACAGGAAGTGAGATAGCCCACTTTTTGTTGGCTTTTCACTGATACTCCTGCCTCATGGGGTGAGGAGCTGGCAACCATGTTTAACAGGAAGTGAGCAAGTACCACTTCCTGTTCATTCCCCACTTGAACCTCGAGGTTACAGTGGCCACGTTTAACAGGAAGTGAGATAGCCCACCACTTCCTATTGGCCCCATACTCACACCCCCTACTCCAGGGGTGAGGACCTGGCAGCCATGTTTAACAGGAAGTGAGTGAGTACCACTTGAATCTCCTGCTTATGATGGCCACGTATAACAGGAAGTGAGTGCGTACCGCTTCCTGTTCTCCTACTCGCACGCCCTGCTCATGGGGTGAGGATTTGGCGGCCATGTGTAACAGGAAGTGAGCAAGTACCACTTCCTGTTCCCCTACTCGCACGCCCTGCTCATGGGGTGAGGATCTGGCGGCCATGTTTAACAGGAAGTGAGCGAATACCACTTCCTGTTCCCCTACTCGCACGCCCTGCTCATGGGGTGAGGATCTGGCGGCCATGTTTAACAGGAAGTGAGCGAGTACCACTTCCTGTTCCCCTACTCGCACGCCCTGCTCATGGGGTGAGGATCTGGCGGCCATGTTTAACAGGAAGTGAGCGAGTACCACTTCCTGTTCCCCTACTCGCACGCCCTGCTCATGGGGTGAGGATCTGGCGGCCATGTTTAACAGGAAGTGAGCGAGTACCACTTCCTGTTCCCCTACTCGCACGCCCTGCTCATGGGGTGAGGATCTGGCGGCCATGTTTAACAGGAAGTGAGCAAGTACCACTTCCTGTTCCCCTACTCGCACGCCCTGCTCATGGGGTGAGGATCTGGCGGCCATGTTTAACAGGAAGTGAGCGAGTACCACTTCCTGTTCCCCTACTCGCACGCCCTGCTCATGGGGTGAGGATCTGGCAGCCATGTTTAACAGGAAGTGAGCGAGTACTACTTCTGAGGATTTGGTGGCCATTTTTAACAGGAAGTGAGTGAGTACCACTTCCTGTTCCCCTACTCGCACTCCCTGCTCGTGGGGTGAAGATTTGGTGGCCATGTTTAACAGGAAGTGAGTAAGTACCACTTCCTGTTCCCCTACTCGCACTCCCTGCTCGTGGGGTGAAGATTTGGTGGCCATGTTTAACAGGAAGTGAGTAAGTACCACTTCCTGTTCCCCTACTCGCACGCCCTGCTCATGGGGTGAGGATTTGGTGGCCATTTTTAACAGGAAGTGAGTGAGTACCACTTCCTGTTCCCCTACTCGCACTCCCTGCTCGTGGGGTGAAGATTTGGTGGCCATGTTTAACAGGAAGTGAGTAAGTACCACTTCCTGTTCCCCTACTCGCACTCCCTGCTCGTGGGGTGAAGATTTGCCAGAGCCTCCTGCCTCAGCTCTGGCCTGGTTCCCAAAGGCAGCTGCCCCCGCTCATGCCTACCCTGGCCTACACCAAGCTCCACTGGCCCTTCACCCCCAGCCAGGCCCGGTGCCCCACCTGCACTAAATGAGTTTGGGCAAGGGGCAGCCCTGCCGCCAGAGCTGGGCTGATGAGAGCTAGGCCTGCCCCACAGGCAGGGGCACTGCCCTCCCCACAGAAACGGGGGTGGGGGTGGCCCCCCCAGCGCAGGGACAGGAGTTGATTGCTGTGTTGTTGGTGTTCATGGTTCACCCCTCTCTGTCTTCTCCCTCCCCTCCCCGTCAGGGACACCCAGGGAAGGAAGGTCCGCCAGGAACCAGAGGGAACCAGGTAAGGGGTTAACCTCCTCTCTTGCCTCTTCTGCTTGTCCCCTGGATCCCCCACCCCCAATCCGAGCCCTTTCCGGCCTCAGAAGCTGGGAGGCAGCCCCATAGGTGCTGGGGGTGAGGTGCAAAGACCCTGCCCCCCCCCACATGCAGGGGTCAGAGCCCCTGGGTCAGTGGGGTGACACATGCCCATCCGTGGTTCTAACCCCCCAAGTGGGCAGGGCTGGGGGAATGATGCCAGCGACTCTCCCCTGCTACTGGGCTGATCTCTTTCCGCTACCCAGGCCCACGTGGTGTAAAGGTAAGCGCCTGATTGGCCCCGGGACTTGGTGTGGCTCCCTGGGGCTGAGATGTTACCCACAATTCTTAGCAAGGATGTGCGAAGGTCCAGAGGCCACGCGGTCCCTGCCCCGCAAGGGGGGAAGAGAAGGATTGTGGGTAAAGTGGAAAACAAAACAAGAGGATTGTAGCCAATGGGAGCCAGGAGTCCTGGGATCTCTCCCCGTCTCTGGGAGGGGAGTGGGGTGGAGTAGTTAGAATATGGCTGTGGATGTTACCCACAATTCTTAGCAAGGATGTGCGAAGGTCCAGAGGCCACGCGGTCCCTGCCCCGCAAGGGGGGAAGAGAAGGATTGTGGGTAAAGTGGAAAACAAAACAAGAGGATTGTAGCCAATGGGAGCCAGGAGTCCTGGGATCTCTCCCCGTCTCTGGGAGGGGAGTGGGGTGGAGTAGTTAGAATATGGCTGTGGGGGGAGAAAGCCAGGACTCCTGTGGCCAGCTCTGTCGCTGCTCCGTGCCCTGCAGCTCACCCTCCCTCTCCCCATCTCTCACAGGGCGTGGATGGAATTCGGGGGCTGAAGGGTCACAAGGGTGAGAAGGTGAGTTCTGCTTCCCTCACCCTCAATCACAGGGGGGACGTATTCCTGGCAGCACCCCATGGCACCCCCTAGTGCCAGGCTGGGGAATTAGTGCACAGCGCCCCCTCGTGCCAGGCTGGGGAATTAGTGCACAGCGCCCCCTGGTGCCAGGCTGGGGGCATAGTGCACCGCGCCCCCTCGTGCCAGGCTGGGAGAATGATGCACAGCGCCCCTTAGTGCCAGGCTGGGAGAATGATGCATAGCGCCCCCTGGTGCCAGGCTGGGGGATTAGTGCACAGCGCCCCCTATTGCCCAGCTGGGAGAATGATGCACAGCACCCCCTAGCGGCAGCTTGGGGAAATAGTGCACAGCATCCCTTCCCCCCACACTGAATTCTGTTTTTTTTAAGTCACTCCCCTGTGCAGCTCCAGGAGTGCAGCCGGCAGCGGATGGGACTCTGGGCGGGGGTGTCAGGAGCTGAGGGGCACTGAGAATTCACTCGCTCTGGGACACGGTCCTTGCTCCACGGTGCAGGGTCTGGCTGATTCTTGTGTGGGGGGTGGGGCAGGAGCCCCCCCCAGTCAGAAGGGCGGTGCCCTGGGGCTCTGGCATTGAGGGGCTGGGGTCTGTGGCACCCCCTGGCTTCAAGGGGCTCTCAGACCCCCCCTTCCTGTATGAGCTGTTCCAGCCCCCAGCCCTGGGGGTTTCACCTTCCCCGGCAGCGTGTATATGGGGGGCTGAGCAGGATTATCTGGGGGCATCTCACTTAACCCTTTTCCTGCCATTGCCGGGCCTGGGGCTCTGGGGCCCCTCAGCCCCTCCTGTTCTCAGCCTGTGGCCCAGTTGCCCGGAGGCTGCGGTGCTTTGCTCTCGTTTACTGTCCCTGGTCGGTCTGTCCGTCTGTCTGTCTCTGCAGGGCGAGGACGGATTCACGGGGTTCAAGGGCGACATGGGGGTGAAAGGAGACAGGGTAAGTGTGCGCCCGGAGCCCCCCACCCCCCCTCCACCTGCCTGCCTGCCCCGGGCAGTGCCAGTCTCACCCCCCCTCTTGGCACCTGCAGGGCGAGGAGGGCGTGCCAGGGTCCAGAGGAGAGGATGGACCGGAAGGTCCCAAGGGCCGGACCGGACCCACAGGTGACCCGGGCCCCCTCGGGCTGCTGGGAGAGAAGGTGAGGAGCCGGGGCGACATGGGGGGGACTGGGCACTGGCCCGTGTGTCCCTCCCGCACCCCCCAGAAGAGCCAGCTCCTGTTCTGGGGCCGGATTGGAGCCAGTGCCCCCTAGAGGGGACAGGCCCCACGGCCCATCCCCCTAACCCACCTCTCTCTCCCTCGCAGGGGAAGCTGGGTGTGCCGGGGCTTCCTGGGTATCCAGGACGGCAAGGCTCAAAGGTGAGCGCTGCAGACAAGGGGTCTGCCCCCTCTGCCCCACTTCTGCCCCCCAGCACACCCCTAACCCCCTTCTCTCCTCTCTCCGCAGGGATCTCAGGGCTTCCCGGGCTTTCCCGGAGCCAATGGCGAGAAGGGATCTCGGGTGAGTTACCCCCGGTGGAGTGGGGCCCACGCTTCCCTCTGCCGGCGACATGCCCATGGAGGGAACTGGGGGGGCCTGGTGCAGGGGGTGCAGGTTCTGCTGTGGGGGGCCTGACACCCATTCCTGCCCCCCCACACTCAGGACAGATGGGAGCTGGCACTCACTGGTGGGGCTGGGTGAAGAGCAAGAGGTTGCGGGGATGGGGAGGGGTTTCCAGGGATGGGCTGGATGGGGAAAGCCACTAGCCCGGTGTGGGATGGGTCCCCGGGGCAGCTGGAATTGGGGGAGCCCTGCAGAGTTGTGAATAAAGTGTCATGGGGGGTGTCCCATGGGTGAGGTCTCTGCAGAGCCCTGGGATGGGGGGTCCCTGTGTAGGTTCTGTGGGGCTGGGGGCCCTGCAGAGCCATGGCAGGGGTGGTCTGTAGGGGGGCAGGTTCAGGACGGGGGATTCCAAGGGTGAGTGTGAGGGGTCCCTGCAGGGCCCTGGCTGGCTGACGGGTTCTCCGCAGGCGCCCACGCCCAGCCCACGCCTCACTGACTCTCTCTCTTGCAGGGTGTATCCGGGAAGCTGGGCCCCCGGGGCGAGCGCGGCGGGGGGAAAGGGGGGGTTAGTGCAGCCAAGTCCCTGGGCCCCTCCCATCCTCCTCAGACATCCCGAGCCCGCTCCACATCCGGCCACCCATACCTCTGCACTTCTCATCCCTCCTTCCACCCATCCATCCACCCCTCCATCCATCCATCTACCTACCCATCCATCCCTCTGCAATTCTCATCCATCCCTCCACCCATCCACCCTTCCCTCCATCCCTCCACCCATCCTTCCCTCCATCCACTTACCCGTCCATCCCTCCACCCATCCATCTACCCATCCCTCCCTCCATCCACCTACCCGTCCATCCCTCCACCCATCCATCCCTCTGCACTTCTCATCCATCCCTCCACCCAACCATCCACCCGTCATTCCCTCCCTCCACCTACCGACCCATCCATCCCTCCATCCACCCACCCGTCCATCCCTCCACCCATCTATCCCTCTGCACTTCTCGTCCCTCCCTCCACCCATCCATCCACCCATCCATCTACCTACCCGTCCATCCCTCTGCACTTCTCATCCCTCCCTCCACCCATCCATCCACCCGTCCTTCCCTCCATCCACCTACCCATCCATCCCTCCACCCATCCATCCCTCTGCACTTCTCATCCCTCCCGCCACCCATCCGCCCATCCTTCCCTCCCTCCATCCACCTACCCGTCCATCCCTCCACCCATCCATTCCTCTGCACTTCTCATCTCTCCCTCCACCCATCCGCCCATCCTTCCCTCCCTCCATCCACCTACCCGTCTATCCCTCTGCACTTCTCATCCCTACCGCCACCCATCCCTCCCTCCACCCATCCATCCCTCTGTACTTCTCATACCTCCCTCCACCCATCCACCCATCTTTCCCTCCTTCCCTCCATCCACCTACCCATCCATCCCTCCACCCATCCATCTACCCCATTCATCCCTCCATCCACCTATCCATCCATCCCTCTGCACTTCTCATCCCTCCCTCCCTCCATCCCTTCACCTGTCCATCCCTCTGCACTTCTCATCCCTCCCTCCCTCCATCCCTTCACCTGTCCATCCCTCTGCACTTCTCATCCCTCCCTCCCTCCATCCCTTCACCTGTCCATCCCTCTGCACTTCTCATCCCTCCCTCCCTCCATCCCTTCACCTGTCCATCCCTCTGCACTTCTCATCCCTCCCTCCCTCCATCCCTTCACCTGTCCATCCCTCTGCACTTCTCATCCATCCCTCCACCCAACCATCCACCCGTCATTCCCTCCCTCCACCTACCGACCCATCCATCCCTCCATCCACCCACCCGTCCATCCCTCCACCCATCTATCCCTCTGCACTTCTCGTCCCTCCCTCCACCCATCCATCGATCCATCCATCCCTCCATCCACCTATCCATCCATCCCTCTGCAATTCTCATCCATCCTTCCACCCATCCCTCCCTCCCTCCATCCCTTCACCTGTCCATCCCTCTGCACTTCTCATCCATCCCTCCACTCACCCATCCACCCGTCCTTCCCTCCATCCACCTACCCATCCATCCCTCCACCCATCCATCCCTCTGCAATTCTCATCCATCCTTCCACCCATCCCTCCCTCCCTCCATCCCTTCACCTGTCCATCCCTCTGCACTTCTCATCCATCCCTCCACTCACCCATCCACCCGTCCTTCCCTCCATCCACCTACCCATCCATCCCTCCACCCATCCATCCCTCTGCACTTCTCATCCCTCCCTCCACCCATCCATCTACCCCATCCATCCCTCCATCCACCTACCCATCCATCCCTCCACCCATCCATCTACCCCATTCATCCCTCCATCCACCTATCCATCCATCCCTCTGCACTTCTCGTTCATCCCTCCACCCATCCTTCCCTCCACCCACCTACCTGTCCATCCCTCTGCACTTCTCATCCCTCCCTCCCTCCATCCACCCATCCTTCCCTCCCTCCATCCACCTACCCGTCCATCCCTCTGCACTTCTCATCCATCCCTCCCTCCATCCACCCATTCTTCCCTCCATCCACCTACCTACCCGTCCATCCCTCTGCACTTCTCATCCATCCATCCCTCCCTCCATCCCTGCCCACCATCCATCCCAGTCTCCCTCCCTCCATTCCTTCTCATCCCTTCCCCCTGTGCTGTTCTCCACTGACCCTCCATCCCCCCCGTCCATGTTCCTCCCATCCAGCCAGCCCTTCCTTTCCCATCTGCCCGTCCACCCATCCCTCCCTGCCCAGCGCAGGCCTCCCCATCTGGGCCCCTTCCCACCTATGGAACCTCCCCTGTAGCCAGGCCCCAGGGAGGTGATGCCCTTGACCCCACGGCCCTGCCCTGGGCTCACCCCACCTGGACTCGTACATGACATGCCCTCTCTGGGCTCCCCCCTTGGCACTGGGCCTCGAGGCATGGACCCCTCTCTGGCTGGGGAGCGGTAAATACTGCCTTCCACCCACCCTCCTTAATTCTTCCTTCCGGGTTGGGGGTCTGGTTTCTGCTACTGGGGTGGGGGACATGTGCCCATCCCCCTCTTATGGGGCTGTGTGGGTCACTCGGGTTCTGCCCCCAGGATTGGGGGTAGGGCTGGGAGGGGGCAGTGCTGGGGCTCAGACACTCACCCCCCTCTGTTTCATTCCTCCAGGGACCCAGAGGCCAGCGGGGGCCACGAGGAGCCACCGGAAAGCTGGGGGCAAAGGTGAGTGCTGTGGGGGTGAGGTGTGTGTGACACAGGGTTAGGTGTGGGCAGGGGTCAGAGGTCAGCCTGAGTGAGCAGGCCCTGAGTGTGCAAACATGCAAGGCCAAATGTGTCTCTTTGTGTCCCTGAGAGTGTGCGTGCCTGTGTATGTGCCTGTCCGAGCACGTGTGTGAGAGAACAGGAGTGTGTGCACACATCCGTGCACGCGTGTGAGAGAACAAGAGTGTGAGAGAACAGGAGTGTGTGTGCACATGTCCGTGCACGTGTGTGAGAGAACAGGAGTGTGTGTGCACACGTCCGTGCACGTGTGTGAGAGAACAAGAGTGTGTGTGCACACGTCCGTGCACGTGTGTGAGAGAACAAGAGTGTGTGTGCACACGTCCGTGCACGTGTGTGAGAGAACAAGAGTGTGTGTGCACACGTCCGTGCACGTGTGTGAGAGAACAAGAGTGTGTGTGCACACGTCCGTGCATGCATGTGAGAGAACAGGGGTGTGTGTGCACATGTCCGTGCACATGTGTGAGAGAACAGGAGTGTGTGTGCACATGTCCGTGCACGTGTGTGAGAGAACAGGAGTGTGTGTGCACATGTCCGTGCACGTGTGTGAGAGAACAGGAGTGTGTGTGCACATGTCCGTGCACGTGTGTGAGAGAACAGGAGTGTGTGTGCACATGTCCGTGCACGTGTGTGAGAGAACAGGAGTGTGTGTGCACACGTCCGTGCACGTGTGTGAGAGAACAAGAGTGTGTGTGCACACGTCCGTGCACGTGTGTGAGAGAACAAGAGTGTGTGTGCACACGTCCGTGCACGTGTGTGAGAGAACAAGAGTGTGTGTGCACACGTCCGTGCACGTGTGTGAGAGAACAAGAGTGTGTGTGCACACGTCCGTGCATGCATGTGAGAGAACAGGGGTGTGTGTGCACATGTCCGTGCACATGTGTGAGAGAACAGGAGTGTGTGTGCACATGTCCATGCACACGTGTGAGAGAACAGGAGCATGTCCGAGCATGCATGTCAGCGTGTGTTGGAATGGGATGTGCTCACGTTTGTCTCCCCTTGCAGGGCACGTCTGGCGGTGACGGCCCCCACGGCCCTCCAGGGGAAAGGGTGAGTGTGCGCTGGGCGGTGGGGACCTGAGCGTGCGACACTCGTGCAGAGCCCTGGGTACAGCCCTTTGCTGCACCAGCCGGACCTAGAACATCACTGAGGGGTCTTGTGCGACCTGCCCCACCTTGGGCCCATGTTAGTGCAAAGGCAGCATTCCACCTTCCTTTGTTCCTCTCCATGGGGGGTGTCTGGCCACTGGTTTGCATAGTGACTCATCCTGTTTTGCTGGGTCGTGGTCCCCACGACAGCCAGTGGGGGTTACCCCAGAGCCAGCAGCATAGAAACCAGCCAGGTACCCCCACTACGTCACAGTGACACAGGGTTAGGTGTGGGCAGGGGTCAGAGGTCAGCCTGAGTGAGCAGGCCCTGAGTGTGCAAACATGCAAGGCCAAATGTGTCTCTTTGTGTCCCTGAGAGTGTGCGTGCCTGTGTATGTGCCTGTCCGAGCACGTGTGTGAGAGAACAGGAGTGTGTGCACACATCCGTGCACGCGTGTGAGAGAACAAGAGTGTGAGAGAACAGGAGTGTGTGTGCACATGTCCATGCACACGTGTGAGAGAACAGGAGTGTGTGTGCACATGTCCGTGCACGTGTGTGAGAGAACAGGAGTGTGTGTGCACACGTCCGTGCACGTGTGTGAGAGAACAAGAGTGTGTGTGCACACGTCCGTGCATGCATGTGAGAGAACAGGGGTGTGTGTGCACATGTCCGTGCACATGTGTGAGAGAACAGGAGTGTGTGTGCACATGTCCATGCACACGTGTGAGAGAACAGGAGCATGTCCGAGCATGCATGTCAGCGTGTGTTGGAATGGGATGTGCTCACGTTTGTCTCCCCTTGCAGGGCACGTCTGGCGGTGACGGCCCCCACGGCCCTCCAGGGGAAAGGGTGAGTGTGCGCTGGGCGGTGGGGACCTGAGCGTGCGACACTCGTGCAGAGCCCTGGGTACAGCCCTTTGCTGCACCAGCCGGGCCTAGAACATCACTGAGGGGTCTTGTGCGACCTGCCCCACCTTGGGCCCATGTTAGTGCAACGCTCGCACTAGGCCTCTGCTCATCACTGTCCAGGCCCAGTGCAGCCTGCCCTGTCCAAGCTGAGCCAGCGTGGGTCAGTCTCTGGGAGCCGGCTCCAGACCTGCAGTGCGGAGCCCCAGCGATGCGCTCGTGCGAGGGACGGGTCACTGCAGTGCGATGCTCGCACGACCCCAGTCACGGCTCCTGGCCTCGCGTGGTGCACAGCACCTGCAGCCATTACCTGGCAGGAGGGGGGGGTCCGTGGGTCTCCCGTTACAACACGAGCCTGGCCCAGGCCTTGCTGGCCTTGTCTCCCTGCCCCCAACCTCTGCTCTGCTCTCCACAGGGACTCCCGGGCCCCCAGGGGTCAAACGGCTTCCCCGGACCCAAAGGAC